GCTTGTGACATCCATTATCCCATAGCAACACTGTACAAGTTTCTCAAGTCAACAGTCATGGTAACACAATACTTATAATCAAGCAAACAGTAACGGCTTATAAGGCTTCAAGGTGTGATATTTCATTACAATGTATTATTATAACTGCTTTGTTATTATCATTAATATCTTCAATTTATAAATTGGACTTTACCCTAGATTTGCATATGCAGGGAAAACATAGTAGCGGCACATGGGCCAGTAATGTCCAGTTTCAGTAACATCTGTCCCCTGAAGGATTTGGGAATTTAGGGCCCAGAGATAGGGAAGATCATGAAGCAATTAAATAAAAATTTCATATGACATTATTTACTATCTAAAATTGTGTTCCTGTTCCATAACATTCTAATGGCGTTTTATACTTCTGTGTTCCTTACTGTGTAAATAATAGGATTTAACAGGGGAGTGACAAGAGTATAGAATGCAGTTAGGGCTTTATCCATGTGAAAGGTGGCTACTGGTCGCATATACATAAAAATACAAGGCACAAAGAATAAGATGACCACCGTGATGTGGGAGCCACAAGTAGAGAGGGCCTTTTTCCTCCCCTCGGAGCTGTACGGCCTTTTTCCTCCCCTCGGATCTGTAAGTCCTCAAAGAGCGCAGGAGGCGCACATAGAACAGCAACAAGATGACAAACGTGATCATAGCCAGTCCCCCGCCATTGACAGCAACCAAGAGCCCAAGAAGGAAGCGGTCGGTGCAAGCCAGCTGTATCAGGGGGAAGATGTCACACATGAAATGATCTATCCTGTTGGGGCCGCAGAATGGGAGCCAGAAAGTGACTAGGATCTGCCCGAAGGAGCGGAGGAACCCCATCGACCAGCACAGCCCCACCAGGACACAGCACTTGCTGTGGTTCATCAGGGTCACGTAGCGCAGAGGTCTGCAGATAGCCACGTAGTGGTCGTAGGCCATGACCACGAGGAGAACGATCTCCAAACCTCCCAAGAAATGTTCCACAAACAGCTGCACCATGCAAATGCTGAATGAGAAAGCTTTTGTGTCAGAAAGCAAATCGACTAGCATTTTAGGGATTATGGAAGAGGAATAGCAAGCCTCTACCAGAGATAAGAAAGCCAGGAAAAAATACAATGGGGAGTCCAGCTTGTGGCTGAACACTATAGTGATAACAATGAGCAGGTTTCCAGAGACAGTGACAAGGTAGGTGATGAGCAACACGAAGAACAGAATTTTCTGCATCTTAGAATTCTGTGTCAGCCCCTTCAGAATGAATTCTGTCACATTCCTTCTGTTTTCTTGCATTTCGATGCTAATGCTGAATTCAGGGGTGGTCAGTTAACCTGTAAAAACAGAACCCTTCGTAGCAAATGTGATAAGCCAACATGTGCTGGATAATCGGTAAACCAAAGGAACTTAGTACTGCGAGCTGTTCTCCTTGGTGGTTTTCCAGAAGAGAAGAAACACACTGTGATTTCTGTTTTATAATAGGAGACTGGAACAACTTTTGCACCTGCCCATCTCAATTTCTTACAAGGGTGCCGGAGCCCCTTTTACAGCACTGTTCACAGGTTTCACTGGTCACTTCGACAAGTTTCACTAGGCCTTTCCCGAAGGAAAACTCTGCCTAGGGAGCCGACATGAGCAGAAACCCGACTCCTTCTCAGCCATTAAGAAAGTTAGGAAGATCCTTTGCAATTCTAGTTGCACACACTGTTGATGTATAAAGTCAGCTCCCCGACCCCTTCCTCTATTTAGAAACTCTTACATAAGCTACAAAGAAACTGCCCGGTGGGAAGGAAGGGAAAGGGGATGAAAATGAGGCATGAAAATGTGCTATGTACCAACTCCCCACAAAGAGTGGAGATACTGTGCACTGCAAACATGTTAATTATCTTTTGACAAAGAATTTGGTTCAGAGTAATCTGAGTTATAAGGAATTTTATAAATATTAATTAAATGAATACATAAGCTGGAAGACTCTAGTTCCTCCTTGGCCTTATGTTTTTTCCCTAGCTAACTCCAAACTAACATGCAAATGATCCATTCCTTCCATCCTACGGATGCCCCTTCGTGCCTGTCACACTGTGCCTGTCCCCACGGTCACTTTCCCAGCTCCGAACCTCCTTCCCATGTGCAGTGGCAGCTGAATGTAGGAGTCAGGGAGGAAGAGAAAGTCTGTCGGGGTTATTGGGCTGGCTGCCTCCCACAGTTTGGATGGAAGCGTGCCTTCTACTAAGACTTCACCTAAGGGGTGCCCCTCTTTGGGGAGCAGCTTTACAAGGCTTGCAGACCTGTCCTGTCCCCACAGTCGCCTTCCCCCCACCTCAGGCTTTCAGCAGTGCTGCCCTCTGCTACTGACCCTGCAGTGCTTTACCTGCCCTTATTAGTTTCTTTTAACTCAAAGTTTAATTGATAAAGTCTTAATCTAACTCTTTTCAAATTTTCTTTTCGATTTTCATATTTCTTGTCCAGACTCCAATAGAAGTCAATGAGAAAGTGGTTTTCCTTTTCATATACGTATTTCATTCTACAGTTATTTGCCCTTCTTGTGCAGTTTAGCTGCTAAATAAATACATTTACTTCTTACCAGAAGAAAACTACACAGTGCAACTTTAGAAGTCTTTCTTTCTTTTTTTATTTTCTCTCTTTTTTCTTTTTTGGTACCAGGGATCGAACTCAGGTCCTTCCACTTGTGAGGCAGGTGGCTGCACCACTGAGCTAAACCCCAGGCCTAGAAGTCTTTCTTACTCCAGGCATGGTGGTATGTGCCTCTCTGGGAGGCTGAGGTAAGTCAGTCTCAGCCTTGGCAATTTAGTGACGTAGCCAGATCATATCTTTAGAAAGTTATAAATAAAAGAGATAGATATGGATATAGATGTAGATACAGATGTGAGACTGGGAACAAATCTCAGCGAGAAGGCCCCTGGTACTGTAAAAATATGTTCTTGAAAAGTCTTTCTTGGGAAGGACTGGATAGAACATAAAGATGACTACAGGGATGGTCAAAATACGTGGTTAAGTGTTTACATTTTTAGACCATATTATGGTAGCTGACACCTTGCCATTACTCTCCTTCAAAATACATCTCCTAGCTTCAAACACACGTCCCATCATCCTTGCCACTTTCTGAAGTAGTTCGGGAAGTGTTGTGTGTGTCTTTATAAGATTTAGCAAAAATGCAGGGATACAGTATCTGCTGCTCGTATGCTGTGCAGTGGAAAAGCGGGCTTTCAAAGCCTTTCCAGGGCGCCCTCATCCACTCTGCTCCCTGAGTCTGGTGCTGTGAGACTTTTGGCTCTACTCCAAAGTCAAAAACGAGGATGGAAGGAAAACCTCAGAACCACAATGAAAGTGCTTAGAACAGTGGGATACGTGTGTACTAAGCTGAGGGGTGCATTCGGAGAGGGATTAATGGAAACGGATCTGCAAGTGTGGTGGGATTTTTTGGTAAATTTAAGCAGTCACCATATTTGTAGATCACTTGTAGATTTTTTTCTTCAGTATGAGGATACTGTCTTAGAGTTATGGAAATCTAGGAGTCTACAAAACCTGTGCCTTTTGCTATCTTGAAGTGAAATAAAAGTATTTCTCAAATCTTTTAAGTTGTAGAAGATGATAGTACTGTAAATAAAAATCATTGCTTCTACAACTACAAAAGTTTTCTGGCGGAAGTTCTATTGACTTTCCCAAGAATTGCATGAAAAGTATTTGAATTTATTTGTAAATGCATCACAAATCCCCAACTGAACAACAAAGTGTGGTGCATTGTTCTCCTTTAGACCAATTAATGCTTAATCTCTTTTCACTAGTTAGAAAACTAAGTAAAATCTTGGTCGGGTCCATTTTATATTTTATGAGACTAGTGATTTTGCTCCATTTCTTGAAAAGTCTGTCTACTTATGCTAAAATTACAGATAAAATTTCAAGAATCCTAAAGATACACATATTCTTACCATGTGTGTTGTTTCACCATGAATAATTCTTTTTTGCTATATTTGGGATTTATTTCTACTTGAAATAGAATGAAAATAAATTATGGAATTAAAGAATTTTTTTTAGTGAATCTCCCACTCATGTGAGTTTTCTTTTCTTTTCTATTTTTCTTTCTTTTCTTTTTTTTTTTTTTTTTTTTTGTACTGGGGTTCAAATTCAGGACCTTGCGCTTGCGAGGTAGGTGGCAGCACCACTGAGCTAAACTCTCAGCCCTAAAGTGAGTATTTTTATCAATCAAAATAAAACCAAGATCTGGAATGAATTATGTCGGTTTGACCACAGGGTGAGTGCATGTCAATGCTTGAGTGTGTGTGTGTATGTGTGTGCCCACACATGGGGGCTACTTAAATGGGATACATAGTTTCAATGTCTGTTTAATGATTTGTGTACAAGGTCACATCCAAATTCTTCTTATCTACTTGTACATACACCTGGCACACTACAAAGTAGAGATAATAGCATTAAAGAATATGGACAAAGTCTACCTTCATCTCCTAAGAGAAAGAGACAGAGGACAGCAACTTTTTTCAAAAAAGGAGCTGCATAGTTTGGCAGATTGTAATAGACACTATGAGAAAAATAAAGCATCCCTCATGAAACAGAGTCCAAAGAGGGGGATCATTTTGTATGAGGCTGACAGAGGCTTCATTCAGATGCAGTAATAAAGAGAAAGGAAGGAGAACTGAGACACCTAGAGGAAGACTCCAGACACAAATGCCAGCAAGGGGGATCCCTGGAGAGGGAGAGGAGCCAGAGTTAATGACTAAGGCGGAGCAGCTGGGATGGAGCCAGCCAGGACGCTGCATGCCAGGCCTTGCAGATCTTTTTAGATGACCCTAAGGGCTGGGACTTCACTCTAAGTGGAAGAGCTTCTGGGAGGATTTCCACAGCAGGAGGGCAGAATCTGACTTAACTGCCAGATGCGTCACATGGGCCACTGAGTGAAGAGCAGGGGCAGAAGCAGGGAGCCAAGTTGGGGTGTCACTGGGACACTGAAGATGAAGATGGTTGGAACCAGGGTGGTCATGGGGAGAGGAATGTATTGTGAAGGTAAATCCAACAGGGTGTTTCGTGTGGAGTGTCATCCTCAGGCAAATGCTGTTGTGAGTTGTGGCTTCTACATATGAAATTGTCTCACTGTGTGACAATGCTTTCTGCAAGTGATATAATTGCAAGCTTTGGAGTAATTTCCCCCTGTTTACACTCCATATCAAGCAAATTAAAATAACCCATGTGTCAGGTGCCTCCTTCATACCTATTTTGTGTCCATCACTGAGCCAGTCTCCCATTTTCAGAGCAACTTCCCAAGTCATGCACTTGTTAGAGAAAATATTCAATTCTGGAAATTAACTACATTTTTTAGAATTATTACTTTTGTTATTTATTTCATTGTAAAGCTAGCATGTCAGCCTACTAAGTAACATTGAAGAACTTCCTTATCCTAAGTATTACTTATTCCATCTGTGAAATCAGGGTACAAACAGTCTTTGTCTCAATGTAGATATAATTTGCATCAAATTTTTTACAAGTGTGAAATATTTCATGGACTCTATAGGGGGGATGACATGAAACCATGACTATTGAAATCACCATGTTGTTCTACAAGGCAAAAGTAATGAATTATTTAAAATAATACCACTTTCCTCTATCATTTATCTACATGGTGTTTAGCCAGCCAATATCATTGCTTTCTTCTTTACCAAAGTGAATGTAAGCTATTTAACACACACATTCTATGTACCACTCATGAGACAGTGGTTAATTTTAACATTAGGCACAGAGAGACAATGTTTGTCACACATTATTGTATTTCTAAAATATACATCAAATCTAATTTTCCGACAGAAACATATTTACTCAGAAGCACTGTTGTTCACCCAACACAGTTCTCTGTAAAGACATTGTCTTCTAGGTGAGTGTCAGCAACCTCTATTCATCACACACACACACACACACACACACACACACACACACACACACATAAATGACCCTAATGTGTTTACCTCTTTCATCACTGTGTAATACCTCTAGCTTACTTATGCTGGAGATAAAGAGAATATAGCATTCTAACTGCCTAATAGGGGAACTTCTACCTGAGTTTCCTTCCTATCACTTCAAAATGCAAATGACTGTTTCAGATGGGAAAACTGAGACACCAAGAGGCTCAACCCCGTACTCTAGGACATGGTGTTAGCGAACCTGAAGGCATAATTCCAGTCTCTCTGGCCTCAGTTCTCATCTGGCCCTGCTCCACGGTCTCTAAAGCACAAAACTTACCTAAGCAGTGGGATCTTTCCTCCGTGTTCCCCTTCAAAGGCTTTAAAGACTGCCTCTCATCCTGACTTACAGAGGTATAAAACATGGCTCTGAAAAGCACTTGGGAATTCAAAGGATGGTATCTTCTGAGAATTTCTCATCTTCCCTCTCACACAAGTTAAGAATCATCAACTTGCTTATTTTCCTGAGTCACTTGATAACACATTACTATCCCCACTCAAACAGTATTTCTAATCCGCTTTAAACTCACTATTAAAAGACAATACACACTGATTATGCATTATGTAGACTATGTTCATATTAACTGTAAAATAACCCTATGGGATAAGTGCATGTCTAATTCACTGAAAAGCTAAGGAAAAGAATGGTTTATTCTATTTACCCAGGATAATGTAACTAGTAAGTTGTAAAACTATAATTCAAAACATCCCTTTTCCTAGACAGGCAGAATCAATACCATTAAAATGGCAATTTTACCAAAAATGATCCATTGATTTAATGCAATCCCTATTAAAACAACCACAGGGCTGAGGATGCAGCTCAGTGGCACCACACCTGCTTCACAAGTGCAAGGTCCCAAGTTTGATCTCTGGTACCAAAAACAAACAAAACAAACAAACAAACAAACAACATTCTTAGGACCAAAAGAAGTTCTAAAATTTACATGGAACTAGAAAAGAACCATCAGAGCCTAAATAATACTGAATAAAAAATGAAAAGAAGGCACCACGATTCCTGATTTCAAGTTAAACTATGAAGCTATAGTAACAAAAACAGCATGTTACTGGCACTAAAATAAACCAATGAAATGGGACAGAAGATATATAAAAAAAAAAAAACTCATGCAGCTTCAGCCATCTGATTTTCAAACTATCTTTATTCGTACGTGTTTGCAGTGCTTGCAGTCTACAGCTACTTGGGGAATGGGTACCTAGGCACACCACAGCTTGTTTCTTTTTTTAATTCCCTTCTGTTCTCCCCCCTGCCTCCTTTCTCCTCTGTTTCTCCATCCTGATGCTCACTCTTGCTGCTATTGCTCATCTTAGCTCATGCTACTGCATACAATGCATACATTCACTGGAGGTTATTTGATTTTTGGTAAAGGGGACAGAAGCCCACACTGGAGAGAAGACAGTTTCTGTAATAAATGGTCTGAGAGGACTGGTTATCCACATGTATACATTAGATCTGTATCTCTCACCCTCTACTAAAATCCAATCAAAGTGGGTCAAAGGCTTGGATATAATCCCAGAAGCTTTGAAACGGCTAGACAGTAACATAGCAAGACACTTGAAGCCACAGGCACAGACAAGGACTTCCTGAACAAACTTCAATAGAAGTAATTGAAGAAGGGAAAGGCAGAAACAAAGCTTATGTATATGGGGCGGGGGGAAGAGGGTGAAGGAGGGCAGGGGAAAGGGGAAAAAATAAGAACCAAGACAGATCACTCGCAGGAACAAATTCCCAGTGATAATGTGATCCTAAGGTGTGCCTAAAATGTAACAATAAACTCAATAAATATAAAAAAACAAGTCACACACTGGAAATTCATTATCACATGGTTTCATTCTAAGCAGAGTAATTATCCTAGTTTTACATTGTATTTTAACTAGAGTTTTCAAGGAATTCAAGTAAGTGGATGCCAGGCTCGCAGGAACAAATTCCCAGTGATAATGTGATCCTAAGGTGTGCCTAAAATGTAACAATAAACTCAATAAATATAAAAAAACAAGTCACACACTGGAAATTCATTATCACATGGTTTCATTCTAAGCAGAGTAATTATCCTAGTTTTACATTGTATTTTAACTAGAGTTTTCAAGGAATTCAAGTAAGTGGATGCCAGGCTTTGATTTATAAATATATAAAAATAATAAAATATTAGATATTGAGAATTGAATGGCTTTGGAGATACTAATTCATTATTTTCATTTCACATACAAAGAAACCAGGACTCAAGAACATTCACTAATTCATTTCTCTCTCTTTTTCTATGACCAGAAAGCTATGTAGAATACTGGAAAATTACTTTTGCTCTTGCCAGTTTCAAAGCCCCTCTGCACTATCTGACCATCATGAACCAAAGGGTTTGCATCCTTTTTTTGGTAGTGTCCTGGACTGGAGGATTTGCACACTCTGTGATTCAACTTGCGTTTGTGTACAGTCTCCCCTTCTGTGGTCCCAATGTCATTGATCACTTTGCCTGTGACATGTACCCATTACTGGAGCTTGCCTGCACTGACATCTACTTTATTGGCCTCACCGTGGTGGCCAGCGGTGGAGCCATCTGTGTGGCTGTCTTCATCCTCCTCCTCATCTCCTATGGAATCATCCTCAACTCCCTTAAGACTCACAGTCAGGAAGGGAGGCCCAAGGCCCTTTCTACCTGCGACTCCCACATAACCGTGGTTGTCCTCTTTTTTGTTCCATGTATTTTCATGTATGCCAGGCCTGTCTCCACCTTTCACTTTGATAAATTCATAACAATTTTTTATACACTGGTTACTCCTACGTTAAATCCTTTAATATACACTTTGAGAAATACAGAGATCCAAAATTCTATGACAAAACTGTGGTGTAAGAATTTAAATATCAGGAGAAGGTGTTATTAATTCTAATGTAAGAAACTTGCAGTAAATCCTAACAAAGAATGATGCTGTCACCTCACCAGATTGTTTAGGTCTCTATCTGTATTTATATAAAACCATTAAAGAAGAAGTTTTCCTTTGTGTTGTAGCTATTGTAGTACAGTTTGTGGAAGATGTGGTGAAAAGCACTGCTTTTTGTTTTCTTAAAGTGAAGATAAAGATAAACCTAAGCACAGTGTACCTTCTAGCTTGCTGTTCCTCTCAGTTTAGATTAAAGTGGGACTTTTACAAAAGTGGCTGCTTTATTTGCAGAGAAGAAAGAAGCTACTTTTGGAAATTTCTAGGCCCCACACTCATGAGAAAGGAAAGTGTCTAATGCTCAGATAATTTCTGGGACTAAAATACAAGATTTGAACTTGTCATATTCATTATTTGATCAGTATAGCAGATTTGTTACCCGATTTAAGCACTTTGTTTTGGGATTACTTCTAAGGTTCTAAATCTATGTAATATTAGTTCAGAGCTCTTGGATAGAAGGTGATACTGTGTTCAAATAAAAATAACGGTGAATAGCTTTTTAAAAACATGACATCCACTTGATGAGGAAAGCAGATTCACCTTCTTTATTACAGTGTGATACTTTGTTTCAGAAAGCCATAAGAGTTGGAACTGTACTGTTCTGACAAGTACCCACTGTCACGGAACCATCACAGTCAAATGTTTTAGATATTCATTACCCTAAAATATTTTCTTTTACTTTTTGTAGTCAATTTGTCTCCTTCCATTATGTCCCTGAAAACTCTAGCCTCCTAATTTTCCTTTCCCAAAATGTTGCATTAATAAATATGAGCCACACAGTATATTGCCCTTTGAATCTGGTGCCTTCTTATAAAGCTTTTGAGGTCTCTGAGTATTCCTACATACATTAATAGATCATTCATTTTTACTGCCAAATGGTGTTAAATTTCACAGATATACCACAGTTTCTTTGACCCTTTTAATCCCCTTTGCAAATTAGATATATTTTGGTTCATTGAAGATATTTGAAATTATGAATGCATCTGTTTTAACACAATAATATAAAACATATGTGAATACATAAGCTTTCACTTAATCATAAGTTTTCATTACATGAGTAAATATCTAGGAATAGAAAACATGGGTTATTGGTAAGTGTATATTTGACATACTGTAGGAAATGGCCAAACTGTTTTCCAAAGTACTCACCTTTTTTCCCAGCTAACAAAAATTATATTTTCAGGCTGTCTCTCTCCTTGTCAGAACTTGGCATGGAAGAAGCCTTTAAATTTTAGTCATCTAAATTGGTGTGCAGTGACATTTTTTTATGGCCTTAATTTTCATTTTTAAATGACTAATGATATTGGGCATCTTTCCATGTGCTTAGTTTTCTTTTTTGTTTGTTTATTTTCATTTTGGGGGGGTACTGGGGATCTAACTCAGGCCCTTATGCTTCCAAAGCAGGTGGTGGAACTGAGCTAAATACCCAACCCTTAGTTTTCTTTTATTTGTCTTGTTTAAGTGGATTTTTTGCTAATTATGTATTGAATTCTTACTACTGAAAGTTGAGTTTCTTATACATCCAGGAAACAAATTCTCCATCATCTTTGTGATTTGCACATATGTTGCCTCTATATTTGTTTTCTCATTCTCTTAAAAGCATCTGCCCAATAAATGTGTCAGAAAAATACCCTTTATGACTACCTCTGCCTCTGCAGATGGATCCAAAGACTGGCAAAATCAGGAGGTTTGAGAGTGTGCGCAGAGGGGGGGAAGTTAGGAGAGTCGTGGGGGTTCAGGGGTGCCCATACGGCTATCTTCCTGGCACTGGAGCAATGGCAGCTCCCAGCAGGAGAGGGCGTGGCTATCCTTCCCGCGGTGGACCAGGGCCCAGGCAGCCCTCCTGGCGCTGGAGCGATGGCTGCTCTAGCAGTTTACGATTATTGTAAGTAACATGATAGCCATCTATCAGTGGTACCTGAGTTCACACACTTAATTTGTTCCACACTTCTGGTGAAGATGGCTCTGCTTGTGTTCCACACTCTATGTTAAGCTTGCAAAAGAGAGCAAAATTTTACTGAATGCTTCTGGTCATAAACCAAATTGTACATGAATGGAAGCATTTGTGAACCAAGGTACTATATGATATATTACCTACCAACTTATTGTATATTGTAACATATAGTATAATTGGATTATAGTTATATGCACATTACATATGTGTCCCTCTGGTTATCCATTATTGAGTGATATACATTTCTGTTTTCAGGTGTTGGTTTTCATGAATAAAGGTCCTATGAACGTAGATGTGCAGATCTACACAAGATACTTTTAGGGGCTGTTTAATGACTATACAGAAGTAGGGTTCCTAAATGATATGGTCATTCTACTTTTGTTTTTTGAGGACTCTCCATACTGTCTTCTAAAGTCACTGTCCCACCTGAGAGTTCCAACAAGAGTGCACAAGGTTGTCCTTTCTCTGCTTCCTCATTGACATTTGTTATCTAGAATATGTTCCATAGTAGCCATTCTAACAGATGTGAGGTGAGATATTTCAGGACTTTGGATTTGTATTTTTCTGATACTTATTCAAATTGAGAACTGTTTCATGT